ATTCTGTGATGTTTATGGAAAAAAGGTGATGAGTATGTGGTAATACAAAATCTCAATTTACTGTTGCCAAATTCAAAGGCTCTTCTAGCATCAGGAACAGCATTTTACATTCAGTATGGTTCACACTTAAAGTTAATAATGACCTTCAAAACTTGTTCTTATCTGTTGCTGCTGAGTTAAGAACAGAGTAGTAGACTAGAAAATCATGACATTGGTTCACAGCAGGTAACTTAGTCTCATTTGAAGTAAAACTGATTTGCTCTCTGGTGAAACATACAATTTTTAATTTTTACATCGCAAAGTATTGAAATGATCTAAACTTTAAACTGCTATCTTCAGAAAATAACTCTGAAAACATTATTCTTTCATCTCTAAGAATTATTTTTAAAATGACATTTTAATTTTTAAAGTATATATAATTTGCATCACAAGGCATATATTTTATAAGGAATTTTATAGGTAATTATGAGGAAAATAATAAGATATAAACATTCTTGACCGATAATGGGACTACCACACATAAATTCATAGTCTATGCCTGCTATGGTCTTATTTAAATAAATATATTTGATTTCCATATTGAGAATATTATAATACCTTGGGAGGAAAGTTTGTTAATTAATCTAACTCTGACATCAACGCCTCAGTAGATGAAACCCAAATAGTCAGAAAATTTTAGCTATTATCAAGGAAACACTACACCTTCTTATTCCCTACTTTGTAATATCAAACTGAGCAATTGAGTACAAAATAGCAACTGCTTTCCAATGGGATCTATTAAAAAGGTTCCAACAGGTATGATTACCCTGTAGATGTATATGTATTATAGTGAAACATATTGGAATGTATATATTTCAAAGTTATTTTATGGTAGAAAATTCTTGTTTGGAAGAAAGAACTCTGGATGTAGGTATCTTACTCCACCCTAAAAGAATGGGAGCAAATGAATGCCAGAGTCTCAGGCATGAATTTCTATGGAATTTATGAAATCTAAAGGATTGTAAGGTCAAAATGTTTGCACCTTATGATTCTTAAGTTTTATTCCCTTTGTAAATAGAATATGGGCCAGCACCGCGGCTCACTTGGCTAATCCTCTGCCTGCGGTGCCGGCACCCCAGGTTCTAGTCCCGGTTGGGGTGCCAGATTCTGTTCTGGTTGCTCCTTTTCCAGTCCAGCTCTCTGCTGTGGCCCGGGAAGGCAGTGGAGGATGGCCCAAGTGCTTGGGCCCTGCACCCACATGGAGACCAGGAGGAAAAGAGACCAGGAGACCTGGCTCCTGGTTTCTGATCGATGCAGTGTGCCGGCTGTAGCGGCCATTTAGGGGGCGAACCAACGGAAAAAGGAAGACTTTTCTCTTTGTCCCTCTCTCTCAAAAACAATAGAATATAAGTACTCTTCATGAAAAGTTAAAATCCATAGTGCGTCATCCCTTCTACAACATTGAAGGCATGAGCCGAAAGAGAGAAAATTGTCTGGTTATAGATTTACAGGGATAAACTCTCTTCTGTTTCTACAAACTCTTAGCATAATTCTTCTTAGATATGATATTGCAACTTCAATGATCACCAATTCTGCATTTCCAAAAGTATTCTGACCCTCCAAGTTTGCTTGTTTCTCTCATATCAGAATACGCAAGATTAGTAGATACATGCTAGAAGGTATGCTGCAGTGTTCACTGTGTTATGGAAATGAATACATAAAAAACTAAGGGAACAATGCATTTAATGTTCTGTGCAAACTAACAAATCATACTGTTATAGCTGATTCGACACCTGGGAACTTGTTCTATCAAGGACAAAGAATGTGGTCAGTGAAGGAGCAGACCAAAAGATGATTTTTCAAAGGATTTTATTGGAAAAATGAAGAGACAAAGATTTCTACATCTGATAATACAGGTGGGCATGTCAGTAAAGGAATAGAGCATCAAGATTCATTTTCGATTCTCTTTATATACAGAAGATCAGTTTAGCATACATTAAGTAAAGATTTCAACAGTTTGCTCCCACACAGAAACATAAAGTGAAAAATACTGTTTGAGTACTCGTTATAGCATTAAATCTCAATGTACAGCATACTAAGGACAAAGATCCTACATGAGGAGTAAGTGCACAGTGACTCCTGTTGTTGACTTAACAAATTGACACTCTTGTTTATGGCATCAGTAATCACCCTAGGCTCTTGTCATGAACTGCCAAGGCTATGGAAGCCCCCTGAGTTCACTGACTCTGATCATATTTAGACAAGGCCATGGTCAAAGTGGAAGTTCTCTCCTCCCTTCAGAGAAAGGTACCTCCTTCTTTGATGACCCATTCTTTCCACTGGGATCTCAGTTGTGGAGATCTTTCATTTAGGTTTTTTTTTTTTTTTTTCCCCAGAGTGTCTTGGCTTTCCATGCCTGAAATACTCTCATGGGCTTTTCAGGCGGATCCCTTTCTGCTACTTGTAATGCTTCCTTTAAGTACAACTATTTATTGTTATTGTACAGAATCTTGTCAATGTAACAATTTTAAGATAATTTATACATTAAAAAGATAGTTTAGATAAAATTTTATCTAAATGTGATAAAGAAATGCCATTTGTTTGAATTTATATACTGAACTATACTTCTGTTAAGGGTGTTGAAAGGTCACCCATGACACACTGAGAATAAAGTTGAATCTACTAAGACTGAGATTGTTCAGATTTTTCCTAGCTCAAATGCTATTGACTGTCAGTTGAGGGAAAGAAAACTGCATATGAATTAAATTACTCCCCCCAAATGTTGCAACACATTTATTCCATTTCTGTATATTTGACATGATAGCAACAGATTTTATTCAATTTAAAAATCTAAGTTACAAAGTTGAGGTTTCTTTAGGACAGCTGCAGACACACATTAAAACCCTTGAGTGTAGTACCCATGACAGGAATTTGAAATACTTGGGCATCGGCTTCTTGTTTGTTTTAGTTGCTGACCTTTCTGAGGATAATGAGATGATTTGGATTGTATTATTCCTTATGGTTATTTACTTTTTTAGAAACTAGTAAAGACTGAGTCAGTATTTGTATCTCATCCTTTAAAGACAAAGGAAAAAAATACAATGAACATTCATTTAATAACAATAATAAGATACTCTTCTATGCTCCACTACTAAGCTTACTAATTCTTTTCCTGAATATTATGCCATGAAATATTTCTGTGCATGTGTTATACTACCACTGGTAATATCTTGAGAATTCTGTGCAATTAATACACAAGTATCATATCTATTCAGCAAATGAAAGACCTTAGTTTTAGTATTGTCATTGTGCAGTAATTAAAACTAATTAAAGTAGAAGGAAGACAAATATAAACATTCTACATCATTTTTTAAAATTGGAATTGAAGTCAGAAAGCATTTGTTTATAAAAATGTGAAATTAAGTTCTGTCATGTTATTAACAAGCAAAAGTTAAGATTGTCCTTTTGTGATTATATTAATAGAGACCAAATTCTTTTTTTATGCTTTTAATTTTTTTATTTAGTAAATATTAATTTCCAAGTACAGTTTGTGGATTACAATGGCTTTCTCCCCCCATAATTTCCCTCCCACTCGCACCCCTCTCATCTCCCACTCCCTCTCCCATTCCATTCACATCAAGATTCATTTTCAATTATCTTTATATACAGAATTATATATATTATATATAAATATAATATATATTATAATATATAATACATTATATATTATTATGTATATATTATATTTATATATAATATATACAGAATATATTAAGTAAAGATTTCATCAGTTTGCACCCACATAGAAACACAAAGTGTAAAATTCTGTTTCAGTACTAGTTATAGCATTACTTCACAATGGACAATACATTAAGGACAGATCCCACATGAGAATTAAGTACACAGTGACTCCTGTTGTTGACTTAACAATTTGACACTCTTGTTTATGGTGTCAGTAATCTCCCTAGGCTCTAGTCATGAGTTGCCAAGGCTATGGAAGCCTTTTGAGTTCGCTGACTTACATCTTATTCCGACAGGGTCATAGTCAAAGTGGAAGTTCTCTCCTCCCTTCAGAGAAAGGTACCTCCTTCTTTGATGGCCCATTCTTTCCACTGGGATCTCACTCCCAGAGATCTTTCATTAGGTCTTCTCTTTTTTTTTCCCCACTGTGTCTTGGCTTTCCATGCCTAAAATACTCTCATGGGCTCTTCAGCCATATCCGAATGCCTTAAGGGCTGATTCTGAGGCCAGAGTGTTATTTAGGACATCTGCCCTTCTAGGAGTCTGCTGTGTATCCTGCTTCCCATGATGGATCGTTCTCTCCCTTTTTGATTCTATCAGTTAGTATTAGCAGACACTAGTTTGTGTATGGAGATAGAAGGAGAGCTCTCATCTCCACTGGTTGACTCCCCATGAAATCAGGAACTCAGTCCAGGTCTACATGGGTAGGTGACAGGAACCCAATCACTTGAGCCATCACTGCTGGCTCCTAGGGTCTGCATTAGTGGGAAGTTAGCAGGAACCTGCAGGATGGAGCTGGGTATCAAACTCAGTCACTCTCCAATATGGGACTCATCCAACATGGGATGTTGGCATCCTAACCCACATCTTAACCTTGGCCAGACACCCTGCCCATCAGCTGTGTTTCAAGTATCCACTCTTATTTCTGTTATGTATCACAAAGTATTGACTATTTCTGAGGTGTCTCACAATAAATGCCTCTCAAATACGACTGCCATTCAAAGTCCTTAAAACACACATGTGGTCTGCCTTTTCCAAGGAAAAGTGTCAAATCTTTAGTTTTTAAAAGGAAAAATAGTCTAGTACAAATATCTTTGAATTCAAACAGCTGCATGCATGTGCACACACACACAAACACACAATAGGAAAGTCATTTATAGGCCAAATCTAGGTAGATGTAGATTTAATTTATTTTTATTTAAAGTGCATTTTAGATATTTAAAAGAAATATGTTTCTTGCCTGAATTGCTTTCAGAATACTTAGATTACCATTTGTCACTTTCAGTCGAAGCATTTTCTTCAGACCCTCAAGGTCCACAAATCATGCACTGCATCAAATAAATTGAAGCTGGTAGAGTGCCCTGTGCAGATGACAAATGTGTTTGATATTTGTGATATTTTGTTCATTTTCAGAGCAAACATGGAAAGCCCTAGCCTTATATCAGAAAGAGCCCTAAAAATATAGCATATTGGACCAACCATGCCTGCAGCTATATGATGGCTGAGAGATAAACCTGTGCCATTCTGAACAGAATGGGTACAGTAGGGTTGTTGAGATCAGGAAAATTTTAATGTAATAAGCCAATAAAAAAGTATCATACAAATGTCAAGGAGATTGTTTAGTTTGTTAACTTGAACTTATTTCCATAAAATTATAGCTTCTGTTTCATGGGGAATTAATTTGCTTCATAGTGTTTTTTTCTGATAAATTGTAAGTATAAAAATAATCACGAAATGGGGTATCACATCATGTGAGCATATGTGGCATAAATAACTTCTGAAGTTATTTTTCGAAGACATTTAAGAAAATTTATTTAGATTGTGTGACAAGCTTCATTATGTCTTCATTTCTGCTTCATCTGTTCCTGGCAAGGTACCAGCAGCGGTCACACATCCACTCCTCCAACCACCTACAGGTTTCATCTGCTTAACTTCATGTAATCCTTTGTCAGAGAAGCCATGAGCCTCTGCCATGGTGAAAAGATTACTCATTTACTCTGTTAGGTCAACCTCTACTTATATTATTTGTTACATTCTGATTTTCAGAAAAGTTTACAAGGCAGCAAATTCCTGTTTTCTTATCTTTTGAGAAATAGCAGTGTGCTCCCAAACGTTCTTTTTGAAAATTTATTTATTTATGAGAGGCAGGGAAATGGAAAGAAAGAAACAGGGAGTTTCTACCAGCTGGTTCATGCCCAAATACCCACAAAGCCTGGGTTTAACCCACCTTCAAGCCAGAAACTGGGAAGTCAGTCTGAGTCTCCCATATGTGGGTGGCAGTGACACAACCACTTGAGCCATTGCCTGCTGCTCCCACGGTGCACATTGGCTGGAAACTGGCATCAGGAGTGGAGCCAGGTCTTTGTGGTGAAATGAGCAGGCTGCACCAAGATGATGCTGGCGAAGGAGCCAGATGCACGCCCAGCTGCACAGAGAATGGCGTCAGGATCCACCTGGCCGAGGAGTCTGCTTAGCAACAGGCTGAGATTGGTTATGGCATGGCCCTCCCTCTGACGGGATTGGCTGCCTCAGCTATATAAGCACATGTACTTCCTGAAATAAAGGAGTCTGTGGGCTGCTCGCCTGTAGCCTGCTTTCACCCGACTCCTGGAATCTGTGTTGTGACTCCGTGCTGCCTTACCCCCAACCACCACGGGAGAACCAAACGAGACAACATCTGGCACCCAACATGGGTTCACCCGTGAGTGAGTTTCGGACTTTGCGAGTGTCCCCCTAGAGATTCGGTAAGCGGCCCCTTGGTGTTTTGTGCGCTGACAGTTCTGTGAGGGCGAGCACAGAACTCCCTCCTAGGCCCTTTCCTTGTCCTTGGTCAGGGCGACACAGTGATAGGAACACACCCACCGTCTGGAGGTGTAACGCCACCTCCAGGCCCCTCTTCTTTCCATTCACCTGGCCATGAAGCCTTCTTTTCCTGTCCCTCATCAGGTTTCCACCTGCTACCAACTGTCAAACTGCCAACCTAACATTCCACCCTGAGTTAACTGCTCACAGCCACATCCACTACAGTTTTATGCCTCGCTAACTCCAGTCAGCTGCTGGAACAGCCTACAGCCTACATACTGTCATACCACTCCTGATTACCATCCTCCCTCATTCTTGCCCCCAGTTGAGCAAGCACTCCTGTGGTCTCCTGTTTTGAGGACTGGTTAGTCAATGATGGGTAAGATCCCCTGGGGGACAACCTAAGACAGGCACAACTGCATGAAGAGTCCACATGGAAATGGGGTCAACAATGGTATGGCCATGAATCATACCTCCTTTTGCTCAAAAATAAATGAAAAGGGGGAAATGTGGATTGAGCAGACCATGTCAAGATGGTGCTGGCGAACGAGCGAGATGCGCGCTCAGCTGTACAGTGAATGGTGTTGGGATCCACCTGGCAAAGGACTCTGCTTAGCAACAAGCAGTGATTGGTTACGGTATGGCTCTCCCTCTGATCGGATTGGCTGCCTCGGCTATATAAGAACATGCATTTCCTGAAGGAGTCTGTGGGCTGCTCACCTCTAGCCTGCTTTCACCTGACTCCTAGTGTATGTGTTGTGACTCCGCTCTGCCTTACCCCTAGCCACTACGGGAGAACCCAAACAAGAGAGCACTTGAGCCATTATCTGCTGCTCCCACGGTGCACATTAGCAGGAAACTGAAATCAAGAGTGGAGCCAGGACTTGAACTCAAGTACTTTGATACTGGATTTTTAGGATTTGTATATCTTAAACTCTAAGCCAAACATCTGTTCCACCCCCTCTCCAAAAAAATTTTAATTTTAAACAGAAGCATTAAAATAATATCTGGAATAATTTATTTAACTTATTGAAAATTTTACAGTTGGGATACATTTATTGATTTCTTCCCCTTCTTGATACATAAGTATAAGCAAGACATTTCTCTCTACAAATGGAATGTTACCAGGTAGAGAGATATTCTATATGGAATAAAATTATCCACATATCATTTTAATGAGTGCCATAATGTAGCAAACACAATGTTCAACATGGAAAATTATTTGAATTAATAGGTGTCATCAATACATATCACTTTGCCAGTAGATCTGGAAATTAACATATCAAAACAGAAGCAATACTAATGGTTCCAAAATTCTGGCAGACAATAAAAGAACTATCTGTGTAAGCCAGGGTTGATAAGAAAGAGAAAGGTAGCATGTAATCCCTTACTCATTCTGGTAATAGACTATTTATATTTTTATACCTTCTATAAATTAGAAACTATTAACCAGTCCACAGGGACCTAGAGAGAATTTTGGTTAGCAAGAAGCCATTAGTTATGGCCTTCAGATACCCACATAAAACATTTCTATCTAACAAAAGCCAGACCAAATTGTTTATTATTGATTCTGATTTTAGTTGGGTGTGCTAAAATGTAGTTTTTGCAAATCATATTAGTGATATTCGCAGATACAATCATTTTAAAGTAGTTTCAATATATTCTGGCATCCAATTCAAGCAGAAGAGGATCAGTCAGCTTAGTTTCATTTCAAGAGACTTTGTGGTTTTAAGGTTTTTCCAAATGAAATTTTGGTGGTTACCAACTAAAATTGAGTCAGTCCTTTCCTTGCACATTTAATTCTCTATTATTTCCCCATGTGTTTAAGTTTCTCTGTCCTGACATAGCTAATAATTACATCTGTCCAAACGTGTACAATTAAAATAAGTTGAGTTTCAGTTTATATTGTACATATCAATGGGCATTGAATTTTGTGTTTTTTTTTTATCTCACCCTGCACATTTTTTTCTTATGTAATTTTATGGGCATGATCTTTGAAGGAACCTTGTTTCCTGTTAAAAATGGAATATTTTCCATTAAAACAAGCGCAGGTGTGAAGTTGCCAATTAAAGTGAAGTAAACGGTCAGTGAAAAATTTTAATTATACTTTCTTCCTTGTGACTTTGTGTTTTTCGACTCCGCTCCAGCCACAGCGTTGTTAACTTGGGCATTGCCCATCTACGCATAGACGGCTTTGAGTTCCCTGAGGCTTCTGTGCTGCTCACCTGTCCTCAGGAATGTGGTCCCTGCTTTGCATGTTTATTGGGTTGCTGGTGTGACAAAATTAAACATTTAGATCTCTCTCCAGCTCTGAGGTTTGCACTCCTGGCAGGAATGAAAGAAAATGTCACCTGAGCATATCCCTAGGTGAGGTGTGATTTCTCCTCACAAATAAAATGGAAGGAAAAGTTTTCTTTTTAATGGAAATTGCCTTTTACAGTCTTATGACAAATTTTATCTCATCGAGGAATAAATCCTCACATGTAGCAACAAAACAGCAAAATCTAAAGGTTTATGGCCTGGAAATGTCGTGAGTCAGAGGTTTTAATGTTTTACAGAAAAATAACATTTGCTAACAACATAGAATAACCTGCTTTTCTTGGGAAACTTTACTAACATTGGGAAATTAAGTTTATTCTAAATTAAAGAAACAAAGTTGACTCAATTATGTAATATACACTTTTGTAGCAAATTAGTAAGAAACAGATAAAAAAATCAGTTCAGCTTACTTTTAAGTTGAAAGAAAAGTTTATTAATTTTAAAATGAGAGAAATAAAATTTAAACAAAATTTAAAATCTCACATTAAAAAATACCATAGCTAAATATCTTTGTCTTATAATATGGTTCAAGTTCATTCACTTTATGCTTCTTGTTTTACTTAAGCTTATAAAAAAGTCTCAATTTTAGTAAAAAAATTTAGATAATCATCGACAGCATCGTTTCTTATTCCTAAAACATCAATTCTTGCTTTCATATCTATTTCAGAAACTAAAACACTTATTACAAAGGGTATATTTTGTAATTGCTTGTATACAGCAATATGTCAGACAAAAAGTTGATCTCTGAGTGACCTTGAGGTTTATCTCCTAAAAAGGCAAGAAACGGGAAACAAGCATTCAACATGGCTGTATTACAAAGACAAGAAATGAGGTGACACATTAAGTCATCACTCCCATTGAGGACTATATTGACATGCCGCATTATTTTAATCTTAATTAGAAGTAATTGTGCCTCCTGTGTGCTTTCTTAGCCTTTAATTAACATAAGCTCTTCAAAACCAAAGTGGCAGCATAATAATGCATTCATAATTTATAGTGTAAATGGTGGCCCTAGGGAAAATGCATTGCTATAATTCTCTTGTAGGTCTCTGCTGATGTCACACTGCTGAACGCCAATCAACCAAAAGATGAATAGGGAGAAAGCATTAGACACGATTTATATGTTTGAAAGTATTATGTTTTACTGTTTTACCATTACCATATATCAATAATTAGTTGATAGTTCATTTTTCCTAATTTTTTTCTCTTTCTCTCCTCTGTGAATGTGAGTTTTGTGTGTGTGTGTGAGACAGAGTGAGTGATTTCCCTTTTTGGTGTGTTATATATGAGTGTGCTCCTGTGTTGGTACATTTCCAAATCAGATAAATCTACAATGAAAGTCAAGTGAGTTTAACCATTACCACCTATAAATTTAATTCCATCTACATAGTGTGCAAGAAGTTGAAAGAGAAATAGATATTGGTTGTAAGGAAGCAGGCAGTGACACTCTTCAGAGCTACAACTAATGTTAATTTTCTCCTCTCCCATGGATATCTGTATTCACTCCATGCTCGATGAACTGTATTTTTGAAAGGGATCAGTGAGACAGATAATTTAAAGAACAAACTACTAAATCACTTAAATATAACCTTGGAATGATTTACAAACTTGCACAGGGAAGAACTCACACTCTCGGTTGTTTCCTCATTTAGGTAAAAGTACAATGGCAGGTGGCCCAAAGGAATTCAAGACGAAAGGGAAAGTCCTGCATTACCAATTCAGATATTGCATGTGTGGCTTGGTCTCAGATCATCTACTTTGTTTCTCCAACATAAAAATTATTTTTCTCAGAAACCTTTTATTTAACATATATGAACTTTATGCATTTCATAAGTACAAATTTAGGAACATAGTGATTTTTCCCACTCTGCCTGCCCTCCCACCCGCACTCTCACCCTTCTTTCTCCTCCCTCTCCTATTCCCATTCTTACTTTTTACAAAGATCTATTTTCAAGTAACTTATACTCATAAGATCAACTTTATACTAAGTAAAGTGTTCAACAAATAATATGAAAAAAAAAAAAAAAGAAAAACAACTACTCCTCCACAGTTGAGACAAGGGCTGTTCAGTCATTGCATCTCAAAATGTCAATTTCACTTTTACAGATTATCTTTTAGGTGCTTTATTTGTTACCACAGATCGTGGAGAACATATGGCATTTGTCCTTTTGAGACTGGCTTATTTCACTAATTATCCAGTTACATCCATTTTGTTGCAAATGACAGGATTTCTTTTTAATCGCTGTGTAGTATTCCAATGGTGTACATATCCAATAATTTCTTTATCAAGTCTCCAGTTGACAGATATTTGGGTTGATTCCATAACATAGCTATTGTAAATTGAACTGCTGTAAGCATGGGGGTACAGATAACTCTTGCATGTGCATTGTGTTAAAGTGTTGTCTTGTGTTCCTGCTTGCAAAATGTTTTTCAAGGCTCTTGTGAAGAAAACAAAAGTGCTGCTAGAGAAGCTTCCTTTGGGTTTTAAATTATAATGCTGTTATCTATGAATTAAATGTTAATAGATCAATAATGTGGTAAGACAAAATTCATGAGATGTACGTGAGACTGCTCTGGAAAGTGCTGAAGTACATCTGTGGTGCACAAGGAGACTAAGGCAAAG